AAACCACACACATAATCATAAAAATCAAGTACCAAGATAAAGTCAATCATGGTCAATCCATGAAACTAAAATGTGAGCACACAATAAGATAAAGGTAATACTCCCTAAATACAACAAAATATAATTGCACTGTGACACTCATTATAAAACAAAATAAACTAAGACACGCTGATAACCTACAAAGTAGTAGTAATTTGCCTTTTACATTTTTTATCATTACATTTCCTACATTCTCTATGATCTACAATTATTAAACAAATTTTTCATTTCCACTCATGGAAGAGTATTCCAATCCTCTATTTTTGGGTCATTTAAATGGCCTAGGTTAGTTGGTCTCAACCTCTTATTGGATCTAATTACAACACTTGGAGACATGGTACACAAATGGCTCTTTTTGTTAAGAACAAAACTAGTTTCATTGGTGAATTGTTACCAAAATTATATCACACACATCACTCTTATTTTGCATGGATTGAAAGCAATATTGTTATAATTTCTTGTATATTCAATTTTGTCTCAAAAGATATTATTACAAGTATTATGCATTCTAATTCTACTAATAAAATTTGATAAGATATCAACAGGCCTTACATTTTTCAACTAAAAAAAGAACTCATGAAGCTCACTTAAGACAGTGATTCAATAAATCAACATTATACAAAGCTAAAAAAAAATAGGATAAGCTTTTTTACAAGCAAAATTGTGCTTGCCCATGCGAAGTTTGTACATGTAGAGAATTAAGAAATTTTCTTGAATATTTATAGACTAAGCATGTTATATCATTTTTAATGGTTTTAAATGAAGTTTTTTTCTTCTCAATTTTGGGTCAATTGCATTTAATGAAATTCATTCCTCTTATCAAGGTTTTTAATATTGTTATACAAAGAGGAAAAACATAAAAAAAAAATAGTAATACTTTTATTTTGTTTTATCATTTGACCTTTGCAGTAAAGTCTTCCAATCCATCATTTATTGAACATTTTTAATCTAAGCAGCAAAAGAAATATTGACCTCTCTGTTCTCATTGTGATGTTTTGGGCTATATAAAGTCTTCATCACGGAAAGCAAAATCATAATTATTTAGATGTGATAGAATTGTCTTTTCATTTATTCCTCACACTTTGCACCAAAATGGAAAAATACAAAAGAGGAAAGAATAAAAAATACTTTTGGCACAGCAAATGACCTATATGTATTAGAAAGCTTTAAAAAAAAAATAATGTGATGTGTTTAATATAAATTATCATCTTTAGGCTACATAACACAGACACATATCCACGCAAAAAAGAAGAGACAAACATATATTAACTTCATATTAGTAAATATTCAAAGTCTTCTTTATCTTTCATGTAAAAAATTTAGTATTTTTAAGTACATAGAAAGCGTAAAAAGACTTAAGTAATATTTATAATAGTATTTTTACTTGAATAAAAGTACTTTGAAATTCTTTGTGTGCAATAATACTTAAGTATACTAATAAATTTTGTAATTTCAATAGAATATTAAAAATATTATTGAACAAGATGACTGATGTAGCCTTATTATTTTGAGTTGAACTAGTGATAAATGTCATATTTTTTAGTATTTGTTAGTATATATTTTGACACTTATTTTCTTCCTTTTCACATAGTTTGCACTTAAATTCTATGCAATTTATATTTTAATACATTTAAGTTCATGTCATTTAAATTCAACAATTTTAACCTTAATTTTGTCAAATAATAGAAGATGTTTGATTTACTTTTCTTGTGTAAATTTTCTTAAGGGGAAAGGCTTCATGAGGTGTTCACATTCAAAGCTTTATTGTGTCTTCAAAAAACTCTTCATATGCCTTATTTTAAATGTTTTTATCATTTCTCATTAATAAAAATAATTTGACCTCTGTCAACTCTTTTGGCCATAAATTTTTATATAAATATTATTTTTGACTAATTCCAATTGCATTGGACTTTACACATCCAGTGCTTCAAAATGCATATATAATTTGCTAGATTTAAAGTTATTTTCTATTTTTTATGATTTTTTAAAATGAGGCAGATTTGCTAAAGTCGCCCAGATTTTCAAGTCTCGCTCAAGCAAAAATTACCTCGCTTGAGTTACAAAATGAAAAATTCATATTATATTTTTTGCTAGTTTTCTCGCTTGAGCAAGAATGCCCTCGCCCATTCGAGAATCTGGCTGCTTGAGCGAGAATCTGAGAAAGAAATTATACAACAAACTTTGCTCTCTGGTTGATTTTTGATTAAGTGAGAATCTGGGCGAGAAATGGTGCCTGAGCAAGAAATCCTACAGCATACTTTGCTCTTGGGTTATTTTTCACTTGAGCGAGAATTGACTCGCGTAAGTGAAAAATCACTTATTGCCCTACAAAGATAAAAGATTCAGCTTGAAAAGAGGAAAGTCAGAGCGGGCTTTAAAGCCCTAGTACACAGTGACCAAATTTGGCATTGCAAAGTAGTGGAAGAGCTTGGGAAAGTGATCAAGAACCATTTGGAAAACTAATTTCAATCTCTTTTCCTTACATTTTCTTATTGTAATATATGTCATGAATGGCTAGAACTTTAGGAATTGAATGTAATCTTCATACTCTGAATGTTTTGGTATTTTTAATATATGTTTGTTCATTTTTCATGAGTTGAGTGTGTTTATTTTGATTGTAATATTTATTTCTACCTTACGCGAAATGATTCATGATCCAAGAATCTGAGGTGAGTTGGAAAACTACCTTACAACCCAGTTGGGGTAAATACATACAATAGGTTGGGACTCTAGGAATATATTTTAATCTATTATATGCGATATAACTCTTGCTAATAATACTAGATTATTTGGTGATTAGATAAAGAATTATCACTCAATAAATATATCTTAAAATCTCTAGTGAGAGGAATCTAACCAGTGAATATAATGAGAGTGCATCATAAAATTTTAGTAATTGTTAATGTGTGTTAGAACTAAAATATGAAGAGGATGATAAATGAAGTCTAATTCCTAATCTTTTAATAGTAGTTTAATTTGCTTTTATTTGCATTTGTACTTATCTTTTATGAACTAAAATATCAAAAATCCAAAATATGATGCATATTTGTGAATATTTAGGAATTTGTTGATTTTAAATTGGATAGCTGAAATTGCTTAAATGTTCACATTCCCTTTAGATACAACCTTTTATATTACATTGAAAACTTGGTATAGCCAAATCCTTAACAACTGGTATAAATTGTTGAGTATTTTTACTTCTTTTAAAGTGTGCTCTTTTCTTTGATTCAACTATTTTTCATTTAATTTTTTTTTATTTTTGAAAAATAACTCATTTATTAATTTACGAAAAATAATTTAGAGAAACATATTCAACATCCTTTATTTTTTTTACCCTAAACTTGGAGAACGAATTTATAATTTTTTTGAGCTAATGCATACTTTTTTATATATACAAATTAAAATAAAGCAAAGAAACTAAACTTATAATTCCACTATTTAATTATATCTAATATTATTAAAGTGTAGGGCATTTCATCACTAAAAAAGAAATATAATTGTTAACTTTAAGAAAAAAATCAGGATAATTCAATATTTTTGTATTAGAGTTATTATTAATTTTGCAAAGGAAACAAACGCAAAACCTTATACAAATGTAACAAGGGTGATAACGCCTCTCTTATTTGTGCCAAATTTTTTCGTACTAACTAGCAGTGTTGTTTCACGTATAAGTGTAATACCCATTTCACATAATACTAATTAATTTTAAGAGCTATTTATTTAACGTGAATGTGATTACTAAATCTGCTTGCATCAAAAATAAAAATTTTGCATTCATTTTAAAAAGATAAAAACATTTAGCAAAGGGATAATGATATTTTAAACGGTGAAATAAGCATACATGTACTTGACAAATCATCTACTCATGTAAATATTTACACAACGTGACATCATGGTGCTACGATTTATTTTTTTTATCAACATTTCAAATCTTATCGGATTGTCTGTTAAACAAAACGAATACCTTATTTAATTATCACTAAAAGCTCAAAGTCGTGACTCAAACATCAAGATCAATGTGAAGTGTGTGTGGGACTCCTGTTTTCTAAACGATAACGATTTATCAATTATCATAGACCCAAATAAAAAAAATTAAGAGATAATTTTCTATCAATCAATCAAACCTTGATTATTCACACCTCACACTTGGTTTGAGATAGTTAATAATAATAATACATCTGTTAAAGGGGTGTAAAATGGATGAAAAAAGAGAAAAACAAAAACAGAGAGAAGGGGGAAAATGTAAAAGAGTGTGAAAATAAAATAAAATCATAACAACAATAATAATAAAAGTAAATATATACAATTTAGTCTCCAAAAATGACATTCTTTTACCTTTATTTCCTGAAAGTTTTTATTTGTACAACATAGTTTTCAAATATGTTAATTTGCTCACACTTTAGTCATTCTTTCACAAAATTCCAACAAAAATTGGATTAAAATATAAGTAAAATTAACATATTCAGAAAATAAACAGTATATATCAGCAAATCAATTAGTTCTTTTTTTAGTCAATACCAATTAGTTTATTAAAGGACCAAAAAATGTAAGCCAGTTATAAATATTTTAGGACCAAATTGTGTAATAAAACGAATCTTTCATGGATCCAAAAGTAAACAATATCAATTTCAAGGAGTACTACTACTAATAATAATGATGATGATGTAAAACTAAAAGAACATAAAATGAATTCTGAATATTTTGTCTAATGTGTAAAGGATTTTGAATTTTCCTTCTTTTTACCTTTGATTCTTATAGACAAAATTATGGTCTTTTTCAATCATTATACACACAATACATATGTTTTCAACTGCACGAGAGATCAAGAAGACTAAATCAACATTAGCTTAGCTTAATAATCGATCTCTAGAGCAATGAAAACAAGATTAAGAATAGCTTCTTTGTTGAACAAATTACACAAAAATCTGATTAGCCATACTTAATTAGGCATGGTCCAAATGTCAAGCATTAGAGTCAGGGCCAGCTGGTTTTGAATTGAGAAGTGGCTGTAGAGCTTTGACAACAATCGTCATGTTGGGCCTGAAGTCAGCTTCATACTGAACACAAAGTGCTGCAACCGCTGCTAACTACATCACCACACAAACCCACCTTAATTAAATATTTATTTAACAAATCCTTTTAAAATAGAATCTTATTTATAAGCTTAATTGTGAAGCTTTTAAGTTGAAGAAACTTATTTTGATAGATTTCTTCTTGAAACTTATAAAAACAAGCTTAAAAAATACTTATTAAAAAGTCATAAATCACTTGGCGTGTATTTGGAAATACGTTGTCAAACTTATACTGAGATATAAGTTTAAATGTGAATTCAAATGGGCTATTATATATTCTCAAATAAGCTCTTTCAAATTCTCCCGTTATCAATGAAATATTGATCAAGTTAAGAGAAAGAACACAGGAGCTAACCTTAGCAATTGCCTTTGGCGGGTACTCATTGTTTAGCTTAGGATCCACACATTGTTTCACTTTGTCCTCACTCAGTCTTGGAGTTGCCTGTAGTAGGAATCGCATTAGAAAATATGTGGACAACAATGAAAACAAAAACCAAGGCCATAGAAAAATTAAATTTGGGGTAGATTCATTCAAACCAAGACTTTATGCTGATGATCCAAACATACCCATGTCACAAGACTTTGTTGCCCTTTAGGCATTGTATGGTCCACTGGCTTTCTTCCTGTCAGGAGTTCCAAAAGCACAACTCCAAAACTATAAACATCGCTTTTCTGGGTTATCTGACCAGTCATGGCATACCTGAAGATGAAAGTAAATCAATTTTGAAAAACATCAACTTATTTTTTGACACAATATGTTGTTCACTTGAGATAGGAAACAAAAGATTGGTAAAGTGGCTTGAATCTTCTGCTGAAGGCGTGTTTTCTACTCATTCTTTGCTGTCTACATAAAAAATTTGTAATATTCTTTATGGGATTTGTTAAATAATAAAAGTTTTATGTTGGTGGATTAACAATAAATTAAAGGATAATCAAGACTTTTTAAATAAACAGATCACTCAAGTTTAAGTGAACCCTCTTTCACACTATCGGATCAAAAACTCAAATTCTAATAGGAGTAAAACATGGCTATGTATAGTTGTGTAATTATATATCAAAAAATCCTCCTATTCTCAAAGAAAGCATTAAGCATACATGATTGAACACAAGTGGATGCCCAAACTAAGGCTAAGGTAGAGAGCTGAAGCATACTCTGGAGCATGGTAACCAAATGTTCCCAAGACTCTTGTTGAATGTAGCCTAGCTGCAGTGTCAGAAGACTGATTTGTCAAGTTGAAATCTGCAATCTTGGCATCATAGTCATTGAAGAGTAAGACATTGCTGGATCTAACATCGCGATGAACTATAGAAGGCTGAACCTTCTCATGAAGATATTCAAGCCCTTTTGCTGCACCAAATGCAATTTTTACTCTCTGGTTCCAGTTTAAAACTGGACCAGGTTCAGCCCCTTGCACTCCTTTCCTTCCTGAAACATCAAAAGCGTAGTGTTTAATTAAAGAACAAAAAGTATTTCCTTAATATAAAATTTCATTAGTATTAATTGTTAGGCCTACCATGTAATATGTCATGCAAAGAACCCAGACTTGCATATTGATAAACCAAAATTCTGTTATTTGCCTCCAGACAATATCCCATCAACTCCACAAAATTATCATGCTTCAGTCTTGAAACAACTGATAACTGCATGATCAACAAAGACATCATTCAAACTGAGACAATCTCGCTAAATTAACATTGCCTAAATGAATCTAAAATCTCAAAATATTAATAATAAGCTAAATGCTAACCCATGCCCTTGGGACCTTAAGAAATCAAAGGTGAAAAAGATGTATTAAAAATTGATATTCTTGCATCTCCTTCTTTGAATTCTAATGCAGAGTAAAAATATAATAAATATTTTTCTTATAAAAACTTATTACTTGTAGTTATTGTTGCTTATAATCATAAGACTTGATATTAACATTTTTCATAATAATAATAATAAACTACCTGTGCTGCAAAATCAGAGTCAGGTTCTGGTGAAGAACTAGTATCAAGCTTCTTAATTGCAGCATCCATGCCATCGCTCAACTTAGCACGGAAAACCCTTCCATAGGAACCTTCTCCAATTAAGGCATTTGTACCAAAGTTGTCTGTTAACCGATTTAATTCATCCAATGAAATTGCTGGTATTTCAATTGGTAATATTTTTTGTGGAGCACCACTCTTCACACCATTGCCCCTTGGCTCTCCTCTGTCTCCGCCTGTATTCAAAGGTTAATGTCAATTGTTTCACTCATAACGTACTTCACCAGAGGTTTATGAACATGTGCAAACAACAAACATTATGTGACTGTTCCATCTAGATGAATACTAATTCCACAATTAGGATATATTATAATACTATGTAAATTGTGCCAAATAATTTATCATTTTGTCCTACATTCTTATGACATGGATGAGAGGAATGAAATGATCAAATTTTAAATTACATAGTAACCCATTACTAATTTGTGTTCGAGTGGTATTTTAGGGAGATTTTTATGGTTTAGGAACTGTTATATGTTAAATTTGACTCTTTTCAGGTAGATTGATTTTCCTAGAACTTAGATATTCTCCTTATTTCCATTCTTCGCACAAGGTCCTGTTTCTGATACAGGGTAACGTGGCACTTTTGACCCTTTCCAATCACAGTAGCAAGCATAAATTTATTCTGCTAGGTAGAGCAAGAGCAGCAGAAAGTAGAAACATGTTGTGATCAACTATAAAAGGAAGAAAAGGAAGCAAGAAGTGATGGAAAATCAAGCGTCTATTCAATAAATTATTTTTACATCACTTATACCATAACTTTAATAATAAAATTTATCTTAATCAGTTAAAAATAACTTATTTTGATAAATTATACTAGAAATTTTATTAGAATAAAAAAACTTATAAGAATTATAAATTATATATATAAGTTGTTTGTGAACTCTTCAAAAGAAATTCTAAGCAACATTTAGTTAAACTTATTTTAAAGAAACAATTATTTGTTTTTGACACATTTCAGGAAAGCTTTTGAAAAATAAGCAATTAGTTACCAATCATGCACTAGGGTGAAAGATGAGTATGGTACCTCCACCACCACCGTATGTATTACCCCCTTGAGGTGATGCACTGTATTGGTTTGCAGGTGGACCACTAATATCCTCTTCTGCACCTCCGCAGCACAACATAGTTCAAAATTTTCTAGTAGAAGCAGTTGTCTCAATAAGCCATTCAGAATAAACGATATCCAATGAAGACCTGAAAGTTTTGCATGGCTCAAATTATTTACTTTTATACCAAATAGCTTATTGACACGATTAAAAGAACAAAACTGGTCTTTGAAATTCAAAAATTCAAGCCACCCTCATTTTGCATTTGAAAATGGTAAAATAGACAATAAACAATGAAAATAAAAATGTTTGTGCAAGGATTACAGATGTAGCCCCTCAATCTGTTCCTCCATTCTTTCAACTTATTGAGAATTAAGTTCCCTGTTTATGTTCTGATAAAAACCATGGATTAAAAAGTCCTAAATGACGAAAACATGCTTTCCAATTACAAACAATTCAAAAAAAAGATGGAGAAATTGCATGGTTACGAATTTGGTTTGGCATTGTTGACATCACACAAGCAACTTAGCAGAAAACATTAAAAGGGTCGATCGAAATGTACAATTACCTCTGACCTGCTCCTAAACAAGCCAGAAATCTCAAGGAGACAATATATGAACGATGATGAAGGATTATAAAGAGAAAAATATGTACAAAAATTTACGGAACAAAGAGGAGGAGGAGGAGGAAGAAGAAGAACACATAATTGGTCGTTTTTCTTCTAACTCCTTCCTAATCAAATGAAGCACCGTTTGGGACAAAAGGCACATGTTGGTGTGTTTCCCGGGAAATTCGGTTCTTAACAGAGAAAAACCATAACATAAACCGAGTGTTGTCCCAACCTTAATTAACATTCCGAGGGTCGTGTACGTGCCACCACGATGCACGTACTTTGCTCTTTACTATTTTATTTTTCAATCATATCATTTGGTATTTCTCATCATACTGCACGTCAAATGGTGACAGGTGCACTTGCATGTACCATACCTATTTTACGTCCCTTTTTCTTTTGTAGGTCAAAGTCCACCGGCCAAGATATGTCAAAATTAAGAAAAAAAATTATATTTATAATTATCTTTCCTTTCTCTTAGGTAGGTCAACGTTTTTATTCTACTGTTTCTTTCTTTTTCTTTTCGAAAAGTAATAAATACTTTATGCATAGTAGGTGTATTTTAAACTATAAAATATGTTCTAGTTGAGTGAGTTCATCAATTTGTTTTTGAAAAATTTGTAGGCGAAGAATGAAGACAGAGAGATGGTATAAAATGAAAATGTTTTGTGTACATACAATGAAAATATTGGGTCTTAGTGTTGGAAAAATATTTTTGAATGCATCCATACAATGAAAATTAAAAAAAGGAAAAAGAAAAAATATAGATAAATGTATATAATATTACATATAATATCAAATTTTAAATGCTTAAATAACAAAATTTATTATAGAAACACCCTTATACCCTTTTCCACAACGTCTCCTTGCTTGCCAATTTTGGTGTCATGCGATTACTATTTTTTTTTCTTATACAGTCAGTATGTTAAAATTAATAGCAAAACACATTCTTTTTTCAAGAGATACTTAAATTACATTATCTCATCTTCTTATTTAAAAAATTATACTCTTATTTCTTAAGAGATCAATATATTTTACACTTTAATATATTTTAATATAAATGACTTTGTTAATGGTGGGTGTGAATACCTATAAAACAAACATCTGAAAAAGTATTTTATCTTTTCGTTTTAACTTCTTAGATCACCAACAATTACTTTTAATAGTTTTCTTATCGATTTTCAAACGTTAATGACTGACAAAATGTTTGGAGAACACTCAGATGATTGACTTTGAAATTTCACTTGAAAACTATTTCATTTTCAAATTCCTCAAAGTTTTATTCAAACTTAGCTGTGTTTAATGTTGGGGGTCATACAAAAAGAAAAAAGAAAAAACAATTAACTCTAAAAGGTTTATTAACGACTAAATTGTACACATATATTAACATATTAATGAAGGAGAGTGTAATGTAGACAAGTAGATAAAGGGCAGTGTAAAATAAGTATTTCTCAAGGAGAAGGAGTGCAATTTACTCTGAAGTTAAATGTTCATGTTTATTTATTTCCATCGAGAATGAATTGAACTCAAACTCAATGAATACTTATAAAATTTGTCCGCAATAAATAATTGGAATAAGAATAAATAAGGTTTGTCTAGGGTATTATAATGTTTATCTCGTACCTGAAGTTTACAAAAAATTAAAAACAAACAAACTTGTATTTTACCCCAACTTATTATTCGTATTTTGGTTAACTTATATATAATCTCCTATTTTATATTATAATTGTTTAACAAATTAATGAAACATGGATCATAATAATAATATTAAAGATAATAAAAAAAACAAATCTAAAACATAATGTAACTTAATTAAAAATATTCAAAAATAATTGTTTAAAACTTTTTAATTTTGAATTATATTATATATATAGACACACATTCTTAGACTCATTCAATGGATAAATATCTCCATAATTACCATCATACTATATCATAAGCTAAAATATGTGAAACTATACATCTCTTAGTTTCAATTATAGTAAAATTGATATGACACATGATAATTTCTAAATTAGTTACATTTGTATCATTATTTAATAATCAATTGAAGATTAAAAATGTCAAATTTAGAAAATTTAAAGATTATACATATAACTATATCAAATGTAACTAAATAAGAAATTATCATGTATCAAATTTGTGTCATATCAATGAGATCACATCAAATCAATGAAAGAGACAAAAAAATGTTAAATTTTAAAACTTTTAGGGATAAAAACACCCAAAAAAAAAAATTTACAAAATCGTAAAAACTAAAAATATATTTAAACCTTCTTAATTGTTGTTGGTTCTTCTTCTTAGGATTATTATAGAAGAAAAGGAAAGAGAACTTAAGACCAGCTGAAATGTAACTAACTCTCAAGTCTTGGAGTGCGAGGGACAAGCAATAAGCAATGGATACAATAAAAGCTTGAGACCAAAATGTGAAAATGGCATAGTTGGTGGGTCTGTACAGTGAGTTTGAGATCCCTAACATATATACATTTTGTCAATCTTCTTTCCAAATACGACCAGTGATCCTCAACTTCAACTGTTGTCTGTCGCCACCAGAAAAATAAAGAGCAAGGTTCCTCTGAATGATAAGTCCATCTTGACTGTCACGAACTTTACTATGACTGTCACGAATGCTCCTTGGAATTCCTTGCCATGTAAGTTTTCGGCTATTTGCACCAACCTCCAAGCTGTATCTGAACTTCTTTGCCTCCTCCTCGTTGCCCAAAAACCGTAAGAACGCCATGAAAACTGGAGCTGTGCCTAGCAGAAACGCCTCAAAGTGCAAGCAGAAATGCCTCCCAAAACACCTGAAAACCTGCTAAGTAATTGGTGGAATTTAATATATGTTAGGTATAGATTGGAATGATTACATGTCGTGAACTTGCATGTTAGCTTGGAGAAATGTTTTGACAACATTCTAGGCAGAAAAATTCCATGGTACAATTGAAATCATTTTGACCGGGAGCGTTTGAAGAACTTCTGGAGAGTTTATGATTCTCATAAACTCTTTTTGACTTACTACTTTCAGTCTATTTTATAAGAAACAGACACTATTTTGAGATGCATTAATAGCTAAGTGTTTTATATCCTTATTTATTGTAAAGTTTGTGTGAACAAGGTGCTCACTCATTATTTGAGTGAATATATTGGTTCATTCAATATATAAGCCACTAATTTGACCATTTAATATTATGAATATTTCTAGAATACAATATGAATTTATGAGTATAATTACTTTTTATTGATCTTGATGAATTGGTTAGTTATCTTTTACAAAAAAGAACCAGACGTAATATTTTAGTAAGTTATTTTACATATTTCATCAAAATTAAGTTTTTTTTTTAACTAATTCTAATAAGTTTCGTTGTCAAATGTATAACCTAAACCCTCAAGTAGTAACAAGAATTTATTAAATTAACACTTGTTATTTACCCAAGCACACCCTAAATTAATTATCAGCATGTGACCCATGAAGCAATAGTTTGTGGCAGCTTAGCAGAAAATAAGACTATTCCACTAGAAAATTTAAGAGTACACTGCATTCTATTTTTCATTTTTCAAATGGAATCAAGCATGGAAATGTGAGCATAACAACAAAAATTTAGGTATAAAAAATATGACAAACAATTTAGAGATGCAAATTATTTACTCAGAATAAATGCAAAAAAATAATAATAAAAATGCCAACCTACAAGAAATAGTAAATCAAATAATCAAAACAAATTGGCTCTTGCAATTCATAAAATGACTTACGGTTAGCATCCATGTGGCATTTTCAACTTCATGTGGATTTGTTTTGACATATCGATGGTTGAAGGTGCATCCGTCATGCATGTCAACCTTGTGATCATCCTTGAGATGCACAATAAGTGTTGGAACATCACCCGTTACACAGCACTCTGATCCAGCATAGGGGCAATGGTATGGACGAAATCGACAATTTTTCTCATGCTTAGGTTTAGTGTAGTATGGAAATATATCATGACAACCTAGATTTTGATATCTGCAAGGAAGCTCCAAGGATTCGGCCACTTTCTCCAGAGCCAAACACCTTATATTTCCAAGATCGTGGCTACATGTTGGACAACTGTTACGCACTGCAGCCTTACAATTTGAACATAACGTGTGGCCATTTGGGCACTGAAACACATAATGAGTCGTCAAGAAAAACATTTAAGTTTAGAGGAATGATTAGAAAGAAACTTAGTGATGCTGTAATGACAATATTAGTCATCTATGCAACTAGCAACACTTAAACTCAAAACAATAATCATTTTTAATTTCTTTAACTGTTCCTTTCTACCCCATTTGTGAGTAGGTTTCTGTTAAAAATCACTCTCCTTAGCATAAGTCATCCAATTCCACATGGGAGCTCTATCAACAGATATAATTGTAGGCTCAAAATCCACGCATTTCATTGCTGACCTTGCTTTTGCAGGATGTGCATATCATAATGAAATCACAATAGAAAGAGGCAGACAACTTGTAAAATAAAGTTTTTATACGAGGTTGCAACCTCCTATTCATTTATGTAGCAGAAAAAATGAATAGGAGGTTGCAACAAATTTCTTAAAGGTAAAAAAACCTACCATATAAATCCACTTTACAAATAAACTGAACAGTTGAAGGACAATAACTTTATGGAATTCCAAGGATTGAAGCCATTAAATTTGTTCTCATGCTCTTTCCATACTCTCATTTAAGATCAATAACTAAGCTATTTCCATATAGTTCAGCAATTTATTAGTGTATTAAATTGAAGTCTAATATGCATCAGCATTGAACTAATGGTTCAGACTTTGCAGCAGAGGAATAAGTAAACAAAGTATTATATTAACCTGTAGGGAAAATGGAAATAAAGATTAACAGTTCCCTATATCCATTTCAAGTTTGCATCATGAAATAAGAAAAATGAGCTTTTCAAACATGCACGCACATACTGATATTAAACAAGAAGAAGAAGAAGAAACAACAAAAGCTGGATTTCAATTTGAAATGACCATGCAAGTATTGCACCTGATGAATTGGGGGATACATCATATTCTTGCAAACAGTGCACTCAAGTAAGTCACAGACAGCATTCTTTGAATTAATTCCACTCTTCCCACTCAACCCGATCCTAGATTTTGTGAATGTTTTATTTCCATTGACCTCAGATTTTGCCTTAGCGGTATCATAATTGGAAAACATCAGGGGAGTTTCAAGAGCTTCTTTGAAAGAACTTCCTCCAGGAGCCATTGCAAATCCAGATGTATAGTGTTTCTTTCTCAATGACTAGGGCTCAGAGTTCTGTTTCAATAATTTCCCATAGCATGATATATCTGTTGACTGTAAAACAGCAAAGAGGTCAACACGTTAAAACTTACACAGAAAATGTACTATATTCATATTTTTAAATTCTTTTGAGTGGAAAATATTTGAAGAATAAAAACACTAGCAAGTAATAGTAAGATTTCTTTCCAGTTAGTAGAATGACCTTATTGCCTTGGCTAATTTAAAGGTGGTATAACACACCAAAATACATTTACATGCAATATTACACTAAGTTCAAATTTGACTGCTTCAAGTGTTTCTGGTTCACAACAGCACTCTCTGAAATGCATGAATTTCAAAAAAGGAAATTTTTCATGAAACCAACTTCAACGTAGTTCCCCAAAATGTTATTTTTAATGTGAACCTCTCACTACCAAGACAAGGATAAATCACTCATTAAATGGAAATTTTCACATTTTATGTAAATTTGAAAAGTAAATCAGTATAAAATATCAAACAAAAAGATTGAGTTTTGCATGTATCAAACAAAATAGTCATTGTACCCCCAATTCCTAGAAAAGGGTCTTTAGGTAAGTTGGTTGGATTTCTATCAGCTTCTTAAGTAATAAGAATAACAACTGTTTCATAACATATGGTATGCCATTTCAACTACTAAATCACCACAAAATTGTTAAAATTGCTATTCAAAGTTTCAAACTACTTCAAAGGACAGAAAAGAGAAGAAATAACACAGGTCAAACAAAATTTCATCAAAGTGAACAAACAATGTCATCCTAGAATTCCCCCCCCCCCCCCCCACAAAAGAAAAACCCACCCAAGTCAACAATATTCAGAAACTCATTCCTAACCAAAAACATTTTAGTTGTCCTTCTTCGCCTGGCAATTTCACAACCCAGCATCTCATTGAACCTGTGCTTTCATTTTTATAAGCAACCAATTTAAGCCAGAGACCACCCTTTCCCTTCTCTCCCCATCTTATGCTATATATATCAAACCAATCAACATGAAAGAGACCGTTACAAAAAGAAAACAACAATTCAGAATCAAGCAACATAGTTCTGGTTTGGCTTTGCCAAAAACACTACCTTTATCCAACTCAATAAAAGCAATAAGAAGCCACAACAAATCTTCAAATTTAACAATTCATCACAAACAATGTGACACTGCATATTCACCAACAGCACCAAGCAACCCATGACAATATATACCAACACAATGCAATAAAAACCAGAAACGAAAAATGAAGACAAAAACCAAAAACAAGCATCTAAAAGCATTACCAACAGAGGAAAAAACAAAGCCAATTTTTTAAATTTAATAAATAATCAGATACCCATTTTTGAATACCAACCCCTAAGTGTGTCTGCATCACAAACAATGCAAACTAGAACATCTGGGTGGGTGCACAATAAAAAATAAAGCAAAAAAAAAAAAAAAAAAAGATTAAAAATGCAAATGTAACAATAACCGATAAAAATTTCGCACCAGGAGCTCCTGAAGTTGCGGAAATCAAGCACAGTTACGGAGATTGAAGAAAAAAGTGCTGGTTTTTGGTATGGGTGCTGACCATCAAGGCTTTGTTGTCTTCTTCTTCTGCGTTCTTCGAAATCGCAGGATTTATTTTCGTTCCTCGTATTGTGCTCTGTTTTTGGTTATTTAATTATTTACTTGTAAATTTTATTTATTTCTGACAACCTTTTTTATTTTTATTTTTGAGTTTTCGAAAATAAAAATATTTTGGCTTTGTCTGTCTCGCCGATGCTCTTAAGTTCTTAATTAATTTTTTTTTTATTTAGTAATCAAGATAATTTATAGGACACCATTAAGATTTAGAATTATTCTTCCTTACAACGGTGAAGCAGTGATCCTATTCGCACGCCACCTCGCCATAACAAACAACCTTTCTCTTTGTTTTTATTTTTAAATAATTATTCGTCATTCAACTTAATTTTAGTTTTCTTATTATTATTAAAAAATTCTTGATAAAACATATTTAAATAGCTTGTTTGTTTAAAAAATATTAAATATTTAAACTCATAATTCTTAGTTATATATTATTTAATTTGGTGTTTAGTTAGTAAAAATTGATAATAGATGTTTTTGTATCTACGTCGGGTAATTAAATATTACAACACGTGAAAATTAAATGGATGCGGTGAATAAGAGAGAAATGTAAGAGAGATATAAGATCTGTAAGAGATTTGTTAAGTTTGATCCAAATTATTACTTGAAATGTTGTTATTAATACTTTTTTAAGATATATTAAAATATTGTAATTATATGTTATCCACTCATGCAAAATAAATACGTAGGACTAGGAGATAGAGATGATATGAAAAAGACATGCTTAAAACAAATACTTGGGAAGGTCCTTAATTAATAAGGAATGTATGAGTGGCCAGGTAGTTACTTATCAAGTAAGTTTTCGACCGTAATAATAGCAAAATATTATTTGGGGCATGAGTGAAAACAAATTGTGAAAAATTTGCGACTATGTCCATAAAAATAGTAGTGTCGTGAAAGTGAGAGAATGAATTTGTGAACAAACTGATAAAAATTATTCATTAGTGAGAAACACTTAGAACACTTGCATTTATTATATAATTTTGTTTAAAAAAATCCATGCATTTTAACAATTAGATGTTTGGAATCTTTGTTAAGAGAAACACTTGCATTTTTCACCTTTTCCGTGCCTTAAATAGGATAAATATTCTAATAGAAAGTTTTTAAAAAAATTATTCTATACAAATAATCTAACTATCTGTAAAGTATAAGTGAAACATTGATTACTAGCACTTATGATTTCTACTCATATAAATGTTAAAAGGATTAAAGAAACGTGAAAAAATATATTTGTTGTGTTTGGTAATGAAAAATATTAGATATGTGAATAAATGATGCTATGATGATCTTTTATCTACATGCTTTAGTGAACATTGGCCACGCTTCCCCATGAATATCTTTTAGCCTATTATTGTTGTGCCATTGATGAAAGCATATTTTTTTATCAACACACAATCTTAAAAGGGAGCACAAGGGGTGTTCCAAGTTCCAACCCATCTAGATCATGAAATTTCACATTGACAAACATATTAAGGGGTTATTGAACCAACCATATAGGAAAAGGAGCATCCATCTACTTTTACTTTTATCCAACTCCAAAATCTTATTTTAATTAAGTCCATAAGTGTTTTTTTCTCAAAACTCTCATGTCTAAAATTAATACCATTCCTATGATTTCAAGTAGACCAAATAAAAGCAAACGAAATTGAGAACCAGGTCTGTGTTGCTTTCTTGTTCAAATATAGATCCGAATGTGTTAGGAAGTGATATTTACAATTCCGTGACATGTTCCAGTTGTATCAGTTTTTCTGTTATTAGTTGATCGTAATAGGAACCTTCAATAGTTATTTACTCTTCTGATTGTGTATAAATAGCATTACTATATATATCACCTTATTGATTAAGTATGGTAAAAACACAATTTCTGAATTACACAGCTATTTCTCGATTCACTCTCTTATTACCAACATTCAAGATGTGCCATTATTTTCACACTGGCATCACCATACTCGATTCAAGCCATGCATAGCATTTGCTCCAAATAAGTAGTGAGATTGGGCATGTGAAGAAATTAAAATGTGAACTTCGTACATTCGATGTTTTCTCTGCAATTAACACAATTGATCTTCTTGTTATTCCATGATTATGCCGTTAATCAAAGCAACATTGATTAGATAAAGGTTAAAACTTTTACTTCTGTAATTTCTTGCTGTGTTTTTCATCTTGTTTATTGTGAAACAAAAATATGAAGAAATCGACCTTTATATCCAAACATGTTATTTATTGTTTGGTACCAATCAAAACTCTGATGAGAACAATCCCATAAGAAAATTATTACAAAATAACAATTTTGGCGTGTAGTTAAGGTAGGTTGATTTGTTCATTTGGAAATGAAAACTAAAGAAAAATATAGAGAAACATAAGATTTATTAATTGTTGCTCAAATAAAATGATAGCAAACAAACAAAAATAGGTTCAACAACCAGCTAAGAATGAGAAAAGATACGATATTGACAATTAGTCGTACTTGTATTTATTAGAATTATTTAGCATATATTATTGTTATTAAAAAAAAGTGGGTATGACAAGATTAGTTCCTTGATGATGAAACAATTGATTTTGGAAAGTAATTTAACTCTTTTTTAAGTTTTGGCAAGACCTTTGCACGTTTGTTACCTAAATCAGCACCCTTTCTCCCTAGTTTGGTTTTTTAGGGGATTAAAAGTATTATACATGAAAGCAATTTTGTCTTAAAACTAAAATATTTTACCGTATATTGAAGTTAATTTTCCTACACAAATCTTGAAGTCAAGACCATATTTAAAAATAATTAAGTAAGTATTTTGAATTATTTTTTTATTACATCATTTTAGATCTCTTAATTAAAATGGACACTTTCACGATAAAATAACACAATTGTTTCTTAAAAATATTTTTACAAAATAATTATATACTAATTGCTTTCAAAAGTTACCTTTTCTTTGATACTCTAAAAGTGATGAAAGATATGCATAAAAAAATTAAGAAAGAATAGAAAAAAATAATGTATTATAATTTCAGTTTTTTATTAATAATAACGTGTTATCTCACATATTTATTTATTAAAGGTCACGCACCTTTAATAAAATCTGTTAAGAGAAAAATAATCTAATAAAGATAGATGTAACATTCTAGCTATATAAGGTGATTAACTAATTATATACTATTTATCCATTAATATCCTCTCCTTTCTTGCCCCCCTCCTCACACACACACAAGTTGGGGCATGGATGTCAAACAAGTTCAACTTAGAAAGAACTTGATTGATATCAAGTGAATGAGACCAAATTTAACCTTCTCCCTAATGATATGGCAATCTATTTCGATATGTTTGATTCTCTCATGAAAAGTTAGATTATGAGCCAAGTAAATTGCATATTTATTATCACAAAATACAACACAACAGGGTGCTAAAGAGAGATTTGTAAATCTACCAAAAGATAATGGATCCACTAGATTTCACAGCTGAGACTCATTAGAGCCTGATACTTAGCTTCAAAAAAAGATCTAGAAATTGTGCTTTGCTTCTTGAATTTTCAAGATATAAGAGAAGACATAATAAAGACACAATAAACAATAATGAATTTCTTGGTGTCTAAACAACATGCCTTCAGAATTTGCAAATGCTAAAAGTTTAAAAGCATAAGAACTTTGGAAAAATAACCCCTTAGCTAGTGTTAATTTAAGGTATTTGATAAGTTTGTATTTTGACATGCTTTTATAGCCTATATATTTATGTATAGTTATTATTTTATGTGAGTTTTACTCTAATTTATATATTAATTGTGCAGTTTAACATTAAAAGACATAATTGAATTTTTTTTTGTGCATTTTAGGTCCAAATTAGATGAAAAATAGGACTTCACAAGAGCCAACACGCCCACACCTTAACAGCTAGTACAAATATGCTTCAAGCTACATGCACAAATGTATTTATAGTCTTGCACGGCTGTGCTTACCTGCAAGAAGTCTAACTATAAGGAAATAATAGATTTTGAAACTCTATTAAAGGAACCTTAGGGGCAACAACTTATTATCTTTTTCATATCTCTTTTCACACCTTTTCACATCTCTTACATCTTTACATCTTCAATCTTGGTATTGGCCAGTCGCTAACAACTATTGGAGCTTTGGAAACACATCTTGGGATCAAGAACTTTCTTCATCTCTTCTCTATCGTAGACTCCTCTAGTTTGCATTTACTTTTTGAATAACTATAGACTTGTTTACTATTGTTTTAGTTTTCTTTTATATTATGTCTAGTTTTAGTTTGCATAACTTTATGAGATTTTTATGATTTATAATAATTTCATGTTTCTATTCTTAATTAATATTTATCCTATTGCGCTATATTTGTATGTTGAAATTGACAACTCTTAAATATACCATAATTAATTATATTGTAGGTGATCATACCACATATAGTTAATGGATATATAAGGTAAAATGAGACAAAAGATGAGATGGATTAAGCTTAGTTCTTCTCTTTTAATTGTTATTAGATTAACAACTCATATACTCTTCATATTTTCTCTTCTTTTTACCTTACATGACTATTGAGGGTAATAGTTTAGAAAAAAGTGTTAACATTGCATGATCATTGGGTATTAATAGATTTAGTATAAGTGGTTGATAATCATAAGAAAACTAAAATTAGAATTAATTTAAAAATGAACATAAAAAAGTGTAAAGGTGAAATCATATGTACTAAGTTATTCTCGATTAGTTTATTATCAAAGGTTGTGTTATTTTTTATTTCTTTTTAATTAATTTTATATTTAATCCATGTGTTATTTAATTTCACATCCTTTAAGTTTAAACAATTAAATTAAGATTGGAAACAATCATTAAGATTAACTTGCATACTTTGGAAGGATCAGGGCAAGGAAGAACAAGGGGAGAACCATGTACATTTCTTCATAGAGATATCCATGTAAGAAGGCATTATTGACATCTAACTGCTCCAAGTACCATCCTTTAATAGCAGCTAAGGCCACTAGAATCTGAACTATAGTTAACTTTGCCACAGAAAATGTATCAAAGTAATCAACA